GTCAGAGAGAGAGGGAGAGACACGCACACAAAGAGAGACACAGAGAGAGGGAGACACACAGAGTCAGAGAGAGAGAGACACACATACACACACAAAGAGAGACACAGAGAGAGGGAGAGACACACGTACACAGAATCAGAGAGAGAGAGAGACGCACACACACAAAGAGAGACACACAGAGAGAGACACACACAACTGAGAGAGAGGGGGAGAGAGACACACAGAGAGAGACACACACGCAGACCCAGGGACAGAGAGAGAGAGACACACACACAGACACAGAGAGAGAGAGACCCACAGATACACACACACACAGACACAGAGAGAGAGACAGACACAGACGCAGACACAGAGAGAGACAGAGAGCAGGAGAGGGCGGAGACATCGAGAGACATCAGGATCCTACAGGCACACAGCAGCACACAGGATCCCAGAGGCACAGCGGATCCCAGAGGCACAGCAGCACACAGGATCCCAGAGGCACAGCGGATCCCAGAGGCACAGCAGCACACAGGATCCCAGAGGCACAGCGGATCCCAGAGGCACAGCGAATCCCAGAGGCACAGCAGCACACAGGATCCCAGAGGCACAGCGGATCCCAGTTGACCGGGTGGCGGGAGAACCGGAGCAGGATCCCTGCAGTCTGGATTTGGTACCGCGGCCGATCGATTCGGATTCCAAGCAGATTGCCTGGAGCTCCCGGCAGTAGGTGGCAGGTTCCCTCCCTCCGGCCCTGGAGGCAGCAATGCTCTGCAATGTTGCCCTCGCTGCTTTGCTGTTAACTGCAGGTGGGTTGCTGCACCAATGGTCTCTGTTAACTAGTTTAACCAGTTAATCAAACCTGCTCACAGTTCCTGCAGTGAGGGTGATGGTGGTCAGTGACATGTAGATGTCTGGATGGGCACTGATAGATATGGAGCATCTAATGGAGAGATGGGAACTGCTCCAGCCATAAGCCCCCTAAAGACCTCCAACTCTCTCCAGTTCTTCAACAGTCTCCACTTCCTTTCAGTTCATTGGCCATTGGCAGCCATGCCTTTAACTGTGTGGTATCCCTCTGGAGTTCCTTCCCTAAACCTCTCCACCTCCCTGCCATTCCTCTGAAACCTTCTTTCAAATAGACCTCTGACATACAAACATACAAACAAGGAACAAGAGCAGGCCACTCAGCCCTTTGAGCCTGATCCACCATTCAGTAAGGTCATGGCTGATCTGATTTTCACCTGAACTGTGCATTCCTGTACATCCTGATAATCTTTCATCCCCTTGGTGATCGGGAATCAAAAATTCTCTCGAATTCTTTGAGGAGGTAACATTCAGGGTTGATAAAGAAGAAAGAGTAGGTGTAATATATTTGGATTTTCAGGTGTTTGATGAGATACCACACATACAGCTACTTGATAAGAGCCCATGGTGCTGGCAGTAGCATATCAGCATGGATAGATGATTGGCTAAGTAATAGAAAATAGAGAGATGGGATGGAGGGGGCAATAGATATTAATGATTTGGATGAGGAAAGTGAATGAACTATCGCTGGGTTTGTGAATGGCACGAGAACAGGTGGGAAGGCAAGTGGTGAAGATGACACAGTGAATCTTCAGGGGGATACAGACAGGTTGGGTAAGTGGGTAAATACTTGGCAGATGGAATGTAACATGGAGAAATGTGAGGCTATGCACGTTGGCAGGTAGAATAGAGGAGCTGAGTATAATTTAAATGGAGAAAGACTGCAGAAAGCTACAGGACAGAGGGATTTGGGAACCCTCATCCATGAATCATAAAACGCCAAGCATCCGAGTTCAGCAGCCAATAGGGAAGACAAATAGAATGTTGGTTTTTATTTCAAAGGGAGTGGAGTATAAAAGTAGGGAGGTTTTGCTGAAAGTGTACAAGGCACTTGTAATACCACAGCTGAAATGCTGTGAACAGTTTTGTGTTCCTTAGTAGGGCCTGTACTTGTTGGAATTTAGATGAATGAAAGGTAACCTTATTGAAACATACAAGATTCTTTGGGGAATTGGTAAGGTAAATATGGAGAGGTTGTTCCTCTTGTGAGAGAGTCTTGAACCAGAGGGTATAATTTCAAAATAAAGGTTGTACGTTTCAGACAGAGATGAGGAGGAGATAGTAGGAACTGCAGATGCTGGAGAATCCGAGACAACAAGGTGCAGGGCTGGATGAACACAGCAGGCCAAGCAGCATCATAGGAGCAGAAAGGCTGACGTTTCAGGCCTAGACCCTTCATCAAATGAAGATGAGGAGGAATTGCTTCTCTCAGAGGGGAGCGAATCTGTGGAATTCTTTACCACAGAGGGCTGTTGGGGCTGGATCATTAAGTATATTCAAGGCTGAGACAGACAGACTTTTAATCAATAAGGCAATCAAGGGCTACGGGGAAAAGGCAGGAAAGTGAAGTTTAGGATTGTCAAGTAAACCATGATCTCATTGTATGGTGGAACAGACTTGATGGGCTGAATGGCCTATTTCTGCTCTTGTGTCTTATGGTCTTACAGGTTTATTTACCTCGGCCTTAAAAATATTTACAGATTCTGCATTCACAGTCTTTTGAGGGAGGGAATTCCAAAGATTACAACCCTCTGAGAGAAAACAATGCTTTTCATCTCTGTTTTAAATGGGTGACCGTAAGGTCTGGTTTCTCCCATTGAGCAAACATTCTCTCCACACCTACCTGATCAATTTGTCCATTCCAGGTACTGGCCTGGTAAATATTCTCTGAACTGCTTCCTATGCATTAACATCCTTCTGTAATACAGTGACCAATAATGTACACAGTACTCCAGATGCAGTCTCACCATGCCTTGTAGAACTGAAGCCTGTGTGGCTCAGTTTTAAATTATGCCTCATAAGCAGCCCCAGGCAGCACCTTGGATGCTACAGGGGCTATGCAAAAGTACAGTAGGATTTTGCTCCCTGCAAGACTGATAATACTAGCTTGTGTTAAGCTGGATGGTATAACTCAGTTAGTATAACTATAATTGCAAACTAGCTATCGGCATGGCACATGCTGTTTAACATTACAGAGGGACACTTATACAGTTAGGGCACAGATGCTATAAAACTGAAAATCCTCAGCAGCTCTGACTGTATCCATGGAGAGAGAAACCAGGGCAACGTTTCACCTCGATGGCCCTGTGTCAGAGTGAGCTAACGGCCTGAAACATTCAGGTTCCCATCACCATCATGTTTGTTAATAATTTTATGGCTAATATTTGGGGGAGCTTGGATATTGATCACATGTGTTTACTGAGCAATGGTGAGTGTGGTTGATTTGGAGGGGCTGGTATAGTGGTAATTACAACCCCCTGAGGGCATGGGTTCAAATTCCACAGTGGTAGATGGCGAAATTTAAATTCGATAATTCACTTCAAAAAAATGCTCCCCTAGAGATAACCACTCTTGATTGTCGCGAAAACCCATCTGGTTCATTAATGTTCTTTAGGTAAGGAAATCTGCCACCCTGGCCTGGCCTGGCCTTCATCAGAGTCCAGGCCCAGCCAATGATACCGACATCCCATGAATAACTTCTTAATAAACAGATATCCGAGTGTTATCGATGTGACAACCTTAAAACATCACCTGACTGTACCTTGTTTTATCCATTGCTTTCCAAATAGACAATACTCATTGAGTAGCATTTGGAGAGTGAGAACTTGCATTTGTAAAGCACCTTTTAGAGCTTTAGGACATCTGAAAGCACTTGAGAACCAATGTGCTAATTCTTGACAAAAGAATAGAACCTGTTGGAGACACAGCAGCTTCGCCAGTGTCTGGCCCTCTGGCTCAGCTCACTCCTCACACCCACTTGCTCCAGGAGCCAACATAGCTCAAAGCACAGGGGTAATAGCAAACACAATGTGTACAAATTAAAAAACAGGTGGCAAGAGTTTTGGAAGAGTACAAGTTTGAGGAGGGTGTGATGTGGGTGACCAACTGGAGGCGCATTGGGATAATCATGATGATGACCAGACAATCTGTATTTCCCGGTGATATTGGTTAAGGAATGAATATTGCCCTCACGACATCAGAGAGAACCCCACTGAGCTTCTGTAAATAATGCCACAGGATCTTTTACATCCCCCTGAGAGACCAGGCAGGTCCTCAGTTTAAAATCTCTTTGGAAAAATGGCGCTGGCCTCAGTACTGCATTTGAATGTTGGCCTAGATTCCCTTCTCAAGTTCCTGCTGTAGGATTTAAATCCAGGGCATTCCAACGATCAGGAGAATACAGAGTCTAAACATCTGCACAAAGTACGGCAGTTACTATAATAGAGAACAGGCTGTGTTCCCCACTATGGCCAGGGTACGGGAGGCGAGGGCTTTATCTGTGATGGAGTTCATGATGGTTTCTGAAGAGAATGACAGAACCTTCCCAGGGTGCAGCTGCTGGAGGTTAAGATTTATCCAGGAGAGGGTGTCAGGTCTGAACACATTCAGACCAGGTTTCATCGAGGTGTCAAGACAAGTGCTGGGATGGCAGGGTGTGAGGGTGAATCTGACCTTGTGTCTCCTGGCAATGTTAGCAAGGAACAGCTTGTAGAGCAGGGGGAGTGGGGATCCAGAGGTAGAAACTCACACCATTGGGACTGATTTCAAATCTTACACCCATCTCACCCAGAGATGAAACAGCTATGAATTCAGCCTACTGATCACACTGGGAAAACTTCAATGTCATTAAAAAGGTTTCACTCTTGCAAAGTTTGGGATGATTTACAGAGATTGAAAACTGTCAAAACACTGGGGGAATGTTTTTACTGAATTTGCTTTGAAAGTGAGTGTGGGGAACAAGGGTAAAGCAGACATGCTGTGTTAATTCCCAACAGCCAAACTACCCCAGTGCACACTTAGAAACAGAGAAGATAGGAACAGGAGTAGGCCATTCGGCCCTTTGGGACCACTCCACCATTCAATATGATCATGGCTGACCATCCAACACAGTATCCTGTTCCTGCTTTCTCCCCCATACCCTTTGATCCCTTTAGCCTTAAGAATTGTATCTAACTCCGTTTGTTAAAAATAACAGTGACTATTGCCTCCTGTTCTCAGTAACAGGTGATCCTGCACAGTCAAAACACAGCAACCTGCCTTAATGCTGTCAATGCAACTGAATTAGCTGTAAGCAAGGAGAGGAAAGAAATCTTCTGAATGAAATATGGAAATGAGATGACTGTCACAGGCAAAGGATATACATGGGCAAATCAAGCAAAGTTTTGAGTGCAAACTGAAGCCTTGCTGTGCAGGAGAATAAAACAGGATTGGAACACACAATTCTCCATCTCCCGTGGTGTACTGAGGAGTGGAACCTCTCTGAATAATGAGAGCTCTTGTTGTTTCATTGGGTTACACAGTGCGGTGAAATGACACAGCTATCCACTAACTAGTTCAGCAACCTATCACAGATTCAGTATCCCTGGTGTATTCAGTTGTCACTGTGGGGTATGTGTTTTTCACTTGTGATTTGTAGTCACTAATGTGTAAGTTGCATGAAATGTTGGCTCAAGTCTCACCTGTGTCTGAGTCTTTAGAACCTGGCGCTGAATCCTTACTGGATGTGGGAAAGCGATACGATTGCCTTCAGTTAGTTACAGAGAAAGCTGGGGCATAGGTGGTGTAGTGGCAATGTCACTGGGTTAGAAGTACAGAGCTCTAGGCTAATGCTCTGGAAATGGGTTCCGATCCTATCACAGCAGTTGGTGGAGTTTATAAATTCAATTCATAATTTTAAAAATGGCATTCAAAACTACTCTCAGTAATGATGATATTTCATTGATTTTTGGAAACTTATGTCTGGTTCATGAATATCCTGTCGGTAGGGAAATCTGCCGTCCTTTTGGAGTATTGTGAGCAGTTTTGCACCTTGTATCTAAGGAAGGATGTGCTGGCATTGGAGGGGGCACAGAGGAGGTTTATGGGAATGATCCCAGGGATAAAGAGCTTGACATACGAGGAGCAGTTGAGGACTCTAGGTGTGTGCTTGATGGAATTTAGAAGGAGGAGGGGGGATCTGATTGAGACTTACAGAATCCTGAGAGGCCTGGATACAGTGGACGTGGAGATGATGTTTGCAGTAGTAGGAGAGACTAGGACCCAAGGGCACAGCCTCGGTGTGAAGGGGCGATCCTTTAGACATGAGATGAGGAGGAATTTCTGCAGCCAGAGGGTGGTGAATCTGTGGAACTCATCTCTGCAGAAGGCTGTGGAGGCCAAGTCACTAAGTGTATTTAAGACAGAGATAGATAGATTGTTGATTGGTAAAGGGATCAATGGTTATCGAGAGAAGGCAGGAAAATGGGGTTGAGAAACATGTCAGCCATGATCAAATGGCAGAGCAAACTTGATGGACTGAATGGCTTATTTCTGCTCCAATATCTTATGGTCTCATGGTCCTTACCCAACGTAGCCTATATGTCACTCCAGACCCACGGCAGTGTGGTTGTCTCCAACTGCCATCAGGGATGGCCCTAGCAAGACACTTATTTGTCAAAAAGGTAGCACGTCGTCAATTTTGTGAGGATAATTAAGGCTAGCCATGAGTGGTGCCCTGCCAGTGAAGCCTATACATGAATAAAGGAAACAGCCCCCTTCTTATAACGCAGCCCTTGGTGTCTTGGTAACTGTCTGAGTGAACTATACCTTTAATATTTACTTGCTATGAAATAAAGAAACCAAATGATTTGTAACAAACTTTGCCCCAAAGATATGTTTGTTCACATTATATGTGGAGAGCTTTGCAAATGAGTTGGTGGGAAAGGTGTGAATATTCAGTAACAGTTACAGATGAATGTCACACTATACAGAACAGCAAATACTGCTGGCAAATGCTAGAGTGAATAGCACAACTCACAACAAGATATGTGAGTTTGTATTTTAACTTTAAAAAACTTTCATAAATTTAGGAGTTTTCCTTAGTCACTGAGGTGATAATAATTTTGTAAATCTGATTTAACTGATGTCATTGGACTATTGAACTTTGTAATTTCTGCAGTAAATTTTTATGACTTGCTTTATTTAGATTTAGATTGGTATTGTCTTAGCTATATTGATGTCTTGCCAAATCATGACAAAACTAACTCGTAATTCAGTGCAGTTCACAGCTACTTTTCTTATTCAGCGATTAGTGGCCATTTAACCTATCATGTCTGTGCCTACACATACCATCCAACTGGTCCCACACCTCCTGTGCTTCCACCATAGCCCTGCTTTTCAAATATTGACTCATTCCCGCTTCTGAAAGTTTCTGTTGAATCTGCTACCTCCACCTTTTCAGGCAGCGCATTCCAGATCACAACTCACTTTGTAAAATAAAATCTCCTCAGCCCAATCTCTTCAACTTCTGAAATTACCTGCAACCCATATCCCTCTGGTTACTGACCCACCTGTCCGTGGGAACAGTTCTCTTCATTCAATCTATTAAAACCCTGGCATTATTTTGAACACCTCCATCGAATCCCCCTCACTCACTCAAAGAAACACAGGTAATAGGAACATGGTTGACTGCCCTCAACTAGATCAGGGATGGTTTTTGACCTCAATGCCATTTTCCTACTCTATCCTGTAATCCTCGATCTCTGCCTTGAACAAACTAAATGACTGAACTGCCACTGTGGTAGAGAATCCAAATGTTTAACACTCTGAATGAAGAAATTCCTCCTCACTCATGTCTTAAATGACCTACCTCTTAATTTGAGACTGTGTCCCCTGATTCTAGATTCAGACCCCTCTGTCCTGTCCAGTTCTGGAAGGGTTTTGTATACTTCAATCAGATTGTCTCTCATTCTTCCAGATTTGGAGAATTTAGACCCAGAGACAGGAAAAACAACTGCAGCTCCTTCAGCCTCTCTACTTAACTGATGAGCCTTCATCTCCTGATCCAATGTAGTAAAAGCTGCTCTGCACCTTCTCCAAGAATTGCAGGTTATTTTCCAAACGTCTTCTGTTCAGCATTTCTATTCTGTTTGCTTTGCAGAGTTTAGTCCCAGGATTTCAGCGAAAGAAAATACATCACAACTATTATCCCAAAGTGTTGGACCCCGACATGGTTCATCTAACACCTCTCAATCTACCACCCAAGCTTCACTCACAACCAACACTGTATTGAATGCCAACAGATCTAGTGAAGCTACTGCATCCAGCCCTACAGCTACTGTGTCCTCAAGCATCAAATCTAATTCTGAGAGTTCAGAGAGATCTACATCAACAAACCCAATCTCTACTAGAGGGTTATCAACAGTAACAACAACAAGAGGTACCACGGATGTCCCTACACTTTCCCAACAAGTCCTTGGAACACAGACAACTGATGCTACAAGTGGGCCACAGTCAACTTTAAGCCACTCAACAGATACTAATTCATCACTGACTGTGTCGACCTCAAGCCAAATAACAAATCAATCCCATACTTCACCAACTGTCCAAACTGCAAGGAGCTCATGGCCTTCTTCAAGTTTAGCCCCGTCAACAGATACCAGTCAACCACAATCAAAGTCAACAATTATCAGTGTATCACAGTCAACGTCAACTTCAAACCCGTCTACAGGTTTTGGACAGTCATCTACCACAGTTCAAGTGTCCCCAGCATCTACTTCCATACAATCTACAAGAAAATCCAGTGCACAGTACAGTTCAACCATTGCCCAAACTGTAACTACCACAAGTCCATTGAAGGTTTCCAACACTGTCAGTCAACAAACTGAACCAACAACTGCACCATCTGTAACTTCCACTGTACCCCAGACCGAAAGCAGCCCGACTACATTGGAAACTACTTCTGTCACAAATGGGAAGAAAACAGTTGCTACGATCACAACCTCTTTGTCTTCATTGTCAACTGCAACACCATCAACTTCACACAAACTGAGTTTGACAACCTCACAACAGACGGTCAGCACTGCAACCCCTTCAACCCAGGAAATCACCACAAACACGGAAGAATTCCCAAACAGTTTGAGTGCAGGTGAGTGAAAACAGTCCTCGTCACTGGCTCATGAACAGAAACGGATGTAAGAGTATATGCTTCAGCTTAATCATTAGCAAAGTTGATCATGCATTACAGCCACAAATTCTGCACCTTTGACATGGGAAGCATGTACAGCTAAATGCCATTCCTTCAATTTACTCATCTCACCCTATTCACATATCTCTCTCATCCTTTCTCCACTTTCTGCTAATCTAGCTTCTCTTTAGGTACACGGTTGGGGTTAATGACACTATTCACCTTGACCAGTCTCTATGGAGCAAGTTCCTCATTCTCACCACTCTCTGGATAAAGAGGCTTCTCCTGAATTTCCCACTGGGCTTGCTAGTGACTTTGTTACCATTAATCAATGACTGTCCCACTAGTGGAAACATCCTTTCAATGGGTCTATCCTTTCAAACTCCTTCAAAATTTGAAAAAGCTCTATAAGATTATCCCTCAGCTAGAGTAAAGAGCCCCAGCCCCTTCAGTCTTTCCTAAGAGCTATAACCTCTCAGTTCCGATTTCATCCCTTGTAAACTGTTTGTCTGCACCTTTTGCAGTCCTGTCAATAACCTTTTCATGAGCTGGAAGTCAGGTTGCATTCTGAAATATACTTACACACCTCATTCTGAAAACAAAAGCCTGGTCTTATAAATCACTCAGAGATAGTAAGAACTGCCGATGCTGGAGTCAGAGATAACACAGTGTGGAGCTGGAGGAACACAGCAGGCCAGGCA